GTCGTTTTCTATTTACAGGTACAAAATCTTATATGTAAACAATATCATTGTTTTTTTCTACCATCTGCTTAAATACTGCCAGCTCAAAGTCATACACACTTTTCTATGCCTGTGCTAATTTCTTTTATTTATTAGTATTCAGGCAGTGAGAACTTTAATCATAAGATTATTTGGCATAAACAATGACTTTCATATGGGTTTTTTGTCTTTGTTCAGCGACATAGGTACATAGAGGCATATGAAATTGATCGCAAGCTTCAAACCATGGAGGACAACTTCATTTCTCAAAATTCTCCCAGTGAAGCTGTGTTAACTAGGATAAGATCAATAAACCATTGGAGAACGGGTTTGGCTGTAAGTCTGTATATTTTTATTGCCTATCTTTCTATTCAATTAAAATGAAAAGATTGCAAATTTGGATTTTCACTTGTGCTATGGTGAAACTATTAATTGGATGAATGTGAATAAATTTTTATTCAATTTATGGAAGTTTGCCCAGGTGTTGCCGTGTTGGTCAATTGAACTCTTATGTTTTTTCACTTTATAGATTGATTGAGAGCATCATAATTTTCCATCTGGTCTCATTTGTAAACAGTTTTTTGGTTTATATATCTAAAACAAGACGCGATTCAGTTTTATTCTGTTTTTTCTCCATTTTGTATTCAATGGCACCCGTAATGTTTATATTCTGGGGTTCTGGGCGTATTATTTGTAACTGAGTAGGAACTTGTAAGTTTGTCCTTAAGGAATCTTCCTAATGGTAGATCAAGCTTTTTCCTGCTTTGTTGAAGACCAAGTTTTATACGGAGTACACATTTTCCTACATTTGCCATTTTCAGACCTTACTAAGTCATTTTTAATTTCTTTTCAGTTTTCCATTTATTGTTATTTTGCGCTGTTTAAGTTTCTTGAAAATGTAGGCATTTCATGTGGTTTATTTAAACAGTGAAGTCAAGTCCAAACTAATGCAGTAGAGGTTACATGCTTTATACTATTGCAGCAAAAAGGGGTGGAGTTGCTTCCTGATATCATTCAGCATCAAGTAAAGGCGGGAAAGTTGGCTGAAGCAGTAAGTCCAAATAAGGATAAGGCAAAGGACCGTTCAGCAAAACCTGATCTGCAAGTTTCTCAAGGACCTATTTTCTCCAGTTTATTGACACACCCGCCTGCTGACGGGGCAGACAATGCAATTATTTCCTCCCCACACCCTCCTGCTGGCCAAGCGAAAAATGGAATAATTTCCTCCCTTAATGCTTCGTCTCTCGAGACTTCAGCAAAATATGGACTTTCTGATCTTTCTATCTTTAAAGTTGGGAACCATATCTCTCCTAAGCCACACACTCATTCATTCATTAGTTCTCCAACAACAGAACGAAGTTCATTAAGGGTACCTCGCAGTAGCCGCCTTCGGAATTACCAAACCAATCAAGTTTCTTCAGAGAGGGTTGAGAAGGTATCCCTCAATGGATCTGTAATTTCTAAGAAGCACCGCTCACTCACAGAAGCCATGGATTTTTCCTGGAGGTAAATATCTTCGTTCGTATCTATTCTTCATCGAGATTGTCCAGTAGTTAAGAGAGAGAGAGACTTTACACGGTTATACCAGATTTGGCCCCTCGATTATACACTCTTACTCAACTTGGTCGTCAACTTTTTTTAGGCTCGTTTTAGCCCTGCCTACTTTGCTCTAATTAGGAAAAGCAATTTTCATGTGCAAAGGAGGGCCATTTTTTTGTCTAAATTTACCGTAAAAAAATAGGTTCTTATTTAAAAACAAATATGTATAGGGACAAAATTGGGACCAAGTGGCCGTAGTTTAAGAGCTAAATTATCATCACCCCAGTGCCGCAAAGGCTCTCACCAACGGTGGGGTAAGGGGGATCGGATGTACGCAGTCTTACCCCCTGTACTAAAGCACAGAGAGACTTTTTTCGGATGACCCATAGTGAAAATCGCGTCGAAAATTGCATGGACTGACTGTTGCTTCATAGCAAAGAAGCGTAGACAGTTTAGTGAGCCATTTTGCTTTATTCCATCATATTCCCAAACCAAAAAATTAGCGAGTCTTAGGCTCCATTGCAAATAATGGAGAAAGTTTAAGACCTAAATGAGTCCAATAAAAAGTTCGAGGACCAAAAGAGTATTACATATAATTGAGACCAAACTGGGTATTAACTAATAAAAGAGGGAAAATTGTATTGGTAATCATTGGTACTTGTGAGCAGCCATGAAGAGGACACAAATGCAAGTGTGAGATCGAGGTGGAGATCTGATGACAGTGAGGAAGAAGATTATTCAACACCAGACAGGCTCATTGGATTCACATCTCACACTATGAACCCTAGCAGTGTTAGAAGAGGCAGATTTTCTCTGAAATGAAGTCTCTGCGTTTCATTCCTTTAATTTCGTAAAGTATAAAGAATTATAGGTACCTCATGTTAAAACCAACGTGTAGAATTTATAATTTTCTGCTTTACCTTTTGTATTGAGTTCGCCTCCAATGAATATTTATTGGTGCTTTTTGTTATTCTAGTCCCATGCTAATTTAACTTTTATGTAACAAATTCTTGAGATGCATTTCGAAACCCCAGGGAGACACACACACACACATATCAGTGTTGTCAATCGCGGCGCAATAGCGCGCTACAGCGGTGGTGCCCAGCGGCAGACTGTGTTGGCGCTACAAGAAGACATCTAGCGGAGCGTTTGGGTGAAGCGGCTATGGCGGCCGCAATAGCGCCGCTACAATGTCCTGAAACGTTTCTGTGTTTAATTTTCTTAGGGCTGATTAAAAAACGTTTTTTTTGGAAGGGTAAATTAGTCTTTTAATATAAAATATTAACCCCAGTAGACCCTCCTACACGTGCGCAGACTAGAACCTTACAAATGGCCCCATATTTTGAATACTATGTGATGTCTGCTCTTTCTTTTTGCTCTGTGCGATGACTTCTCTTTCAACGACAAGTCGACAACCTTTTCATCTGCGATGACTGCTCGCTAGTTTCCACTTTGCCTCTTTCTAGAATCGCTGCTTCATCTTTTACACGGCATCTGTTGCACTCTTCCTTCATTCTTCTACTTGTGCTGCGAGCCTGCAACATCTTCATTCTTCCTTCATTCTTTGTTGCAGTCTTCTTTTCTTCTCTTTAAGCATGGAGTATTGCCACTGCCATGTTCAAAGGGCTTGGAAGTTGGATCTACTTTTTTTGACTGTTAATATATCAAGACTTAAACTCTTAAACTAGAACCTTGTTTTTTATTCAAGATGTTTTAATCATTAATAGCATTTTGTGTTTTGGTCATGAAACTAAAGACTTAAAAGAGTATTACTATGTACTAAATAATTTAGGATTATGAATGTTAAGACTTATGATGTTTGAAAGCTTCATTGGCATATATCATACTTTTTGAATTTGAAATGTGTATGCAATGTATTATATATGCTTCTAGTAATTACTTATGTATTATATTTGAAAGTAGTCTAAATAACGGTCATCCCGCTATCCGCTATACTGCTATAGCGTTTTTGGGTCTGCCCGCTCTGCTATTTGGGATTGACAACACACACACGCGCGCACACGCGCACGCGCACGCGCACGCGCACGCACACACACACACAACTTCAAAAAATGATTTGAATGACAACTTTGAGCCGTTTGGGGCGCCTCCTGTCCCTCCGGCTGGACCTGATCACTTCTCTCTCTCTCTCTCTCTCTCTCTCTCTCTCTCTCTCTCTCTATATATATATATATATATATATATATATATATATATATATATATATATATATATATATATATATATATATATATACACACACACACACACACACACGGTTTTTCTTTTTTATTTTTTATGGCGGCAAGTTTAGGCTAGATGACTTTATGGCTATGCTAGTACCTTGCAGTTTTACAGATTTTTTGCAGATAAGTTTAACTGGCTTTATGTCATTACTTTCAAAAGCAGTCATGTTTAAAGGATTTTCTAGGTTTTTCTACACCAGTAGTTTAAGTTCTAGTGTAAAAAGAAAAGCTTGCACTAGCAGTAGTGCAAATAACCTGATGTAAGAAAACCTAGAAAAGCTTCAAATATAGGTAATGACTATCTGCAATTGAAAGTGAGGACATGTACAAGTCTGTATAAAAGAACATCAATTTATATTGTGTATAATGTGTGAAAAGATGCAATTGTAGATAAAATCTGAGAAATTTAGGTAAATAGAAATTAAACTTGACAAAATTCACTGTTTTTTATCCTTTTATATTCTTTTAATAAGACTACATAAATTCTATATTTGAGAAGAAGAAAAACTCTTAACCCTATGTGAAAATTTTCTTATTTTAGATTTGTATATAGGGGATGAGTCGGGGTTGAGGAGGCAGCTGCCCCCACTGCCCCGTAGACCCCATAGTGGATACGCCCTCGGTAATAAGTTTTGTTTTGTGTAGTGAGAAAAAGTTGGACAAATAAGTTTTGTTTTGTGTAGTGAAAATTCTATAATGTTTTGGCATCTCCAATGATTAATTTATTTGAAGTTTATTTGAATGATGTGCCAGGTTGCTTTAGACATTATAATAAGATATTGTTAAGAGAATTGTTGAAAAAGAAAATTGGGTGCGAAGATTCAAATTCAGAAAATTTTAGATTGTAGAGAGAATGTATTTAGGCCAAACCCAACCCGGTAGAATAAATAAAATTGAAAAAAACAAAAAAAAAAAAATTAGGCCCGAACCGGACCCGGACCAACCGGGCCGGTTCGCGTTTTAGGGGGCCCGAGCCCGCACTGGGAAATGACCGGTTCCGGTTGTCCCGAACCGGCTCAAAGACCGGGTACCGGGCCGGGCCCAAACAGTACCGGGCAGGTCCGGTTCTGGGCCGGGCCGCCCGGCCCGAGTCCACCCCTACTATTGTCTGCCACTTTAGATTTGATCATTTGAGTAACTCCTTCCATAAACTCCGGATCATTTGATATTTTGATTGCAACCTTTTTCAGCTCTTATTTTTTATCATACTCCATATTAATTTACTCTTTAATAATAACAAAAGATATAATAAAACAAAGATTCACGACTATAAAGGAACATAACAACATGTTGATCATGGCTTCACAATCTAACCAGTCATTTCGGTAACGCTTATCCATTTATCCCTATCAAATGGGCTATTAAGCTCAGCATGGAGGTTGAGATGCACTGAATTGATTCATACCAAAATACGATAGTATAAAATATGTACCTAAATAAATGCAGCAGCATATCAGATCTTAAGACAAATAAAAATAAAGAATTTGATTCCGCTAAAATGATCAAGTTCACTACTTCAAGAAACTAAGGAAGCTTCAGATGCCCATTCCATGAAGCCGCTGTTAATTTTCCTTCCAATAGATCTCAACCATTGTGAGCAGCCGAGGTAGATTCAAGGGGGGAGGGAGCCAACCCAAACGACTCCTACGGATGAAGCATAAGTGTATCGAACTCAATGTATGTATGAAAAATCAGTTGAGCAATGACCTCAAAACAGCTTCCGCTCGTTGCTCGAATTTAGGCAATGCCCATTCATGCTGCAATATGTCTAAATTGTCCTTCTCTGCACCCAAACTCTGAACATAAAAGAGTACAAAGATGAGAAAGACTACTAATATAGTAACAGATACTCCATTCGTCTAGAAAGATTATAAAAAGAACATGATTCAAACGTTTCATGTTCTCTCCGTCCTACAAAAACGCTCCCTTCGAACAGTAAACGCTTTGGTCAAATTTTATGCTGAGAAGAGAGAAAAATGAGAACTGCACATTTCTTTCTTTAAAAGGAAAGAGAAACATTAATTTGGGACGGGAGGCAAAAGAAACTAGGAAAGGGAGATCCTTTATTCAAGACGGTATGAGTAAACATACCTACCTTTTTCTAATAATTTTATAAAAAGTTATAAGTATGTTGAATATGATAACTTTACTTGTACGAAAAAAATAAGTTTTAAAAATGTGTACGATGGCATGACTTAAGACTTAAAAGTGTTGTACATTAACCAACAGTAGACCTGCACAAAATTGGCCCGGCCCGCCCAACCAGCCCGCACAAATGGGCGGGCTTGGACATATACATTTACCCACCGGTCTGGACCCGGCCCGCAATAACATGGGTGGGCTTGGGTTAGGGTGTAGGCCCGTTCGGGCCGATAAGCCCGACCCGCTACATTTAACACACACACACTAATTTAATATATACATGTACACATGTGTATTTATATTTATTAATTTATCTTTATACATATTTATAGTTTATTAAGTTTAAATTTAAGTTTTTAGTTCTTAACAACTAGCTCTACTAATATAGTATCTATTTTTGTACTTGAACATAATACTTTGTGCTTGAATTTTAAATTTCAGATATAGTTTCTCATTATTATTTTTGAGTAAGTATTATTTTTGTATGTGGTGAAATGCCTATAAGCATTATAAGCGTATTAATAATTTTTTAAATGTCTACTATTATCTTTAAAGTATTAAAAATATTTTATAATTTTAAAAATGTAAAGTTTTTCCGGGCCGGGCGGCCCGGTGGAGTACCCGGCCCGCTCTTACGGGCGGGTATGGACATGGGGTTACGCCCGTTTTTGCGGGCCGGGGCGGGCCTGAACCCATTTTTGTGCGGGTCTAACCAATAGAGACTCTTTGACTCTGTTTTCGAATGGAGGAGGTAATACACATGTTATAGTTGTTAAGAAGGAAATTGTGCACATTTAACTAATCTAATTCTTTTTGCAGATTTCCAGCGCTGAAGAAGAATAATAAGTACATCAGCTCAGCCAACGCATTTTTATATTAAGAAAGAAATGTAGAAAACCCCACCTTTGATGGGTCAAAACCAAATCCACTCATTTGCATCATGCGTTGGGTATCATCTGTAGCTGCAATGAGTAATTTTCAATACTAGTATAAATAAACACCAAGAATGTTAAATTTAAAATCATACCCAAGCTCCCATTATTCAATATGATATACTGTATACATACTAAACATATATAGATAACAACATATATCACAAACACAATATAACATCAACATAGACAACATTTACCATTTTCCTCTCCCAGAATGAGACTAAATAGGCCTCTCAGCCCAAAAAGGTTGAGGAAGTACCTGAAAGCATAGCAAATCTTCAGAAAATGGTACTATAGAAATATTCCCAAATGTACTAAATTTCACCAGAAGAATGAACATTTGGTGGGGGAGAGTACCAAGATCGACTGCTAACATAGCTTACGTCAACTGTACTCAAGTCAATCCCATTTTGCAACATTGACCTGAACCTTTGAGTTAATGGAAATGGTATTTTTGCTGAAAATAGCATCACCAAAGTGTTTACAAATAGACATGATATAACATAAGAAAATAAACAGTAAGAGCTAATAGTTAGTTCGGTAAGTATCATCATTTAGCAGAAATGGCTCAATTTCAATGGACTGACTTTTCAAAAGAAAAAAATGTTTGGTATGATCTGAAATAGTTGAAGTGAGGGAATTTGTAAATAGAAATGGCTGAATTGGCTCAATCTGTTGAGTTATACAAAATAAATATTTAAATTTTTAAATAAATTATAGAAAATAATACTATCTAAAATTGAACGTCGAAATGCAGCACTGCTTATATTGATGATCAGATCAGCCAGTTAAGCCAGCGCAGAGAACAAAAATTAGAGTTTGGTGCAATTCTGGCTGAAAAGGCTAAAAGGCAAAACACTGCCCACCAAACAGACACTTATCCTCATCTAACCGAGAAGGCTAATAAGCCGAAAAACGCCCCACCAAACCGGTACTTAATAGTCATTTTCAGAATAAGCTGGATAAAGCTATCAAATGAAGCCAACAAAAAACTCACTTTTCCTCATCAAGCCGGGTATTGTGCATAAACAACATAGCTCAAGAACTTAATTCCAAGGACCAACTAAAATACGAAAGGTAAGAATTGCAAACCTGCTACAAACCCTGAGAAGAAGAAGTTCACCCATGCGAAAGTAAGGGTCTGCACAAGAACATTACTACTCAAGACTACAGCCACAACGATGTAAACACCCCAAGGGAACCCACATAAAAGTGTGGCGATAAGAATGTAATACCTGAGGTATAATCATTGACAGATTTTTCTTCATCATATCCATAGCCATGTTAGGATCAGAAAGCATTTGCGCTTGTGGATTCTGAGCTTGTCCTTTAGGAACAACAAGTAACCCATTTTCCTGCACAAAAAATGTACTGGGGTAAGTCTTTTCACTATATGTTAGAAATTTATTAACTGAGTGTGTAATGGTTCTGTGTAGAGCATATAACCAGAAACTCATTTATTTAACTTGATGAATGTACAATTCTAAGAACATATATGTTAGCCATGCCATCTTTTAAACAATACAATAATAATTGGCCACTTATGCATAAGTAGAGTAGCTTCAGGGCCTGCTTATCCACTCAACACAACACCAATTTCCCATTATAACCTTTAGGTAAAATGTATCTTTATTAGTACTTAAACTTTTGCATTCTTGTCATTTTGGTGCCAAACTATGAATTCTAAAATTTGAGTTTCAAACTTCATAATTCATATCATGTTGGTCCTCTTACATTCTCCATCTATTTATCCATTACCTGTCATGTGGCATGCCACACATTGTCAGGTGGCACACCACACACACACATGACTTTGTTGTGATACTCAAATTATTCAAGTTAATTTACAATTATAATTTATAGCAACAATTATTCAATATTTTCCCACACATAACTAAAAGTTAAGTATTTGTAATCCAAAAAGTACACTAAAAATTGCCGTTAGAAATATACTTAACGGTTGTTAAAACAATAGGGGGCATTTTAACGAGTAAAGTATAGATATTCACTTTTAAAATGTTTAATTTAAACAAACTACTTTTATTACTGTAGAACATTTAACGACAAGGTACTAAGGATTACTCCGTATAATAGTCTATTTTAGCACCAGCCAGGCCAATATGTACTAAATGCTGTAATAGTATACTACACATCTTCTATTAGTTCTAACAAGAAAACAAAGGTACATACACACAGAAGGTTTACATATATATATCTATTTACATATATTTACTTATATATGCTGTAATATAATATAATACACATCTTCTATTAGTTCTAACAAGAAAACACCAGCTGTACATACCAAAGCTGGTTTGTACTTTTCATTGAACAGAAAGTACAATGTGGATGTTCATAATTATTAAATATATAGTTAAAGATAGATTTAATTGTAATAAATTAGTCTTTGGTTTAAATTTTCCAAAAGATCATAGCCAGAAGTGAGTTTAAAAAATCTGAGTGCATTTGCTGCTATAAATTAAATTATTTAAAAAATTTAATCCCTCTGTATTTTTCCATCATTTCCAATGGAGCCAAACTAACTATTTTTGGCTTGGGAATATCATGGAATAATTGAATAAAGCAAAATGACCCACTAAACTATCTGCGCGTCTTTGTTATAAACAAGGTTCGAAATTGCGAATTGCGTAGTCGTGGCGTTTTTTTAATATTGCATATTGCGTAAGCCTCATTGCGCAATGAGGCGTGTAGCTGAGGCGTAATATATATATATATATATATATATATATATATATATATATATATATATATATAACATAATAAAAAATAAACATTATCATCAAAAGTCATCAAATGTTATATTAAAACAAACCATAAGAGACCAAGCAAAGTAACATGGAATACCAAAACATTCTGAATCATTTATCAAAACAAAAATCTAAGATATGAAAATTTAAATTAATTAGATTGATTGACTGCAAAAATTCAATCAATAACTACTGGTTTGAAATAGGGATCATAAGATCAATTATAAAAATTTAAAAGTGGGCCGAGTGGGCCCAAATAATACCCTTACACCCTGACCTCCTATTGCGTACGCCTCAGAGCGCCTTATTGCGTATCCAATATTGCGTACGCCTCAGTGCAATATTGCGTACATCACACTCCCAGCGCCATATGCAATGCCTTTTACGCCTTAGTCCAGAAATTAGCTGAGGCGCGCCATGAGGCGCAATTGCATTGCGCAATTACAAACAATGGTTATAAAGCAGCAGTCACTCCATGCAAATTTTGACGCGATTTTCGGGTCATCTGGAAACAATCTCTTGTGCTTTAATGCAAGGGTAAGACCGCGTACATCTGACCCCCTTACCACACGTCCACACCATTGGTGGGAGCATTTGTGCACTGCGGTAACGTTGTTGTATACTCCCTCCGTATTCTTTTGTTACTGCACTTTCTTTTCTGGATGTATTTTAATTTTTGCTACACTTTCCATTTTTGGTAAGTTAAACTTTAAAAATACTCACTTATCCTCACTTTTCTACTTTTTCATCTTCTCTTACATTCTTTTCCACTTTCTCTCCTACTTTTTCTACCTATTCATTACCCCTACTATTTTTCCCTTGAATATTGAGTCAAACCTATTGTACATGTGTACCAAACAATAGACTACAAATGGAGTATTTGTAAACCGATTTAGACTAATTAATTGTACAACAAGAGCATGTGGGATGGCATTTGTCCAATAGCATGCTAAGCACTGGCAACACGTGTCATGCCACGAGGAACTTAAGGGATAAATGGATGGAACTTTAATGAATGACCAAAATGGTATGACTTTTATGGTGAGGACCAAAATGGTAGAGATTTTAGCTTGATGACTAAAATGATATGAGGGGAATAGTTTGAGGAGGCTATGAGCAAATTTGCATTTCTCCCGAGAACTTTTAGCCATTCCCTCTACGTACTACAGTACTACCACTGTAATAACATGTCCTGTATCATTTACTTTTACTAATACAGTTCTATATGCTATTCTACTGCCGATTTGCATTCCTAATCAGACATTGATTGGGATGAAAAGTTAAAAAAAAATATACTTGCATTACTCAATGGTCAATAGTTGCATTCAAATCTATCCCCTTTCCCTGGGTCTGTTAGTCTGTTGCAGAGTATTTTATTGTATATTCATTTTCTTTGTCTTGCAGTTATACCCTCATGCTGAAAGTAAAGAAATCTGAGCATCTCAATTAAAAATTTAAAACTTAACCCTCGGCCCATCAAATACAACTCCAAGTTGAGCCCCAAAAATGACAACCTAGCTATGAACTAAATTCTCACCTTCAAGCAAATAGATGACAAAATGCAAAATTTGTTGGTAACATTATTGCTAGCATTTTAATTTATTTATACAATTCAACTCGCAATCAACTAGTAAATTTAAAAGAACTGGAGTTAAGTAGATTTCAAATGATTAAAGTTATGAACCTCATTGCTATAATAAAATCGCCTCGCTCTAAAAGACTTGGCAGGAAGAAAATTGGCATTTGCCCTCAAATTCCTAGCCCTTATTATCGCCTGCCTGCATAAGATCTTCAGATATATTAACAAATAAAAATATAATGACATAACTATATAATTACGCGCACGAGAGAGTGGGAAGATGTAAAAAACCCTTCTTTGACGATTTTAGCATCAGGTGACTGGGAAGAAGATGACTGCATGAGCTTCGATACGAAGTATCTGAGGACTCCGATGAGCACCATAACTACCGATAACGGTATAAGCACCCAATCTCTGATTGCAGTGTCCAATACCAAATCTTCCGCCATCTTTGTCTTTCTCCAAAAAGTTTGACTCCTGATATTACGTAGTAGATCGTAAGATCCACCCTCTCAGCTCTCAAGAAGTTCCCGGTAAAAAGTAAACACTGGTTGTAAAGAGCAAGGTTAGTACTAGTTTCTTTTTCGAAAAATTGTTGGTGATTTGATGCCCTTCTCTTTCCATTGGACCAAAAAATTCATCCTAGACTCTACAAATGTTTTGAAAAAAAAATATAAAGTAATACTTTCTCCGTCCCGAAAACAAATTCTCACTTTTCTTATTTGAATGTCTCAAAATAAACTTTTCATTTTTTTATTTGGCAAATTAATCAACATCAAACAGTGTCAAACAATTCAAAACAGTGTCAAAACAGTAACATTTACCCCTCAATAACTTTATTTCCTTAAAATGTGTGAAAGTCAACTTGAGAACTTGTTTCCGAAACGGAGGTAGTATTATCTCTGTCACATTTTATGTGTGCGCTTTAACTTTGACACAAGCTTTGATAAAGTAGTTGAAAAAGTAAAACTGTGATCGAGATTTGAGTATAATAAAGTGAAATATTGTAAACTACGTATTTCTTTCAAAAAAGAGAAATGTGACATTTAATTGAGACAACTAAAAAATGAAAGTAAGATAGGTAAAATAAGACAGAGAGAGTATTATAATCATTTTGTAATTAAAATATGTAAATGACCTAAATCTATATTTTAATATGATTAATTCATAACATAATGTATTCTGTGAGATGAATGTTTCCACATGTTACTTCCTCCGTCTCATTTTACATATCATACTTTCTTTTTTTGGTTTGTCCCAAAATAAGTTTCTAATTTCCTCTATTGAAAGAAAATATGTGATCTACATCATGTCACTTTATTATACTCAATTTCCAATCTCAATTTTTACTTTTTTCAACCATTTTATGAATAACTGCATTAAGTCAAAGCGAGACACATAAAATGAGATGAAAGAAGTATTCATTCAAAATCATTTAAAAAGAATTAGAAACTGTCATCCGAAGTAACGTTCGTAGAGGACTTGTCTAGCCCGCACAGCCAACTCCGTCTGGTTTGATTGGGTTTCGAGTCTAGATACTGTTTGCCCCTAGTATATGGCTTAAGAACATGTATGATGATTTTATTTTTCACTTTATCAACTTCATTAATTAATTTTTTCATCAAACGCAAGTTTTATTTTGGATGTTAAGTTGTGTAATAATAAAAAATGTTAAATACTATCCTCCGTCTCTTTTTAATCACAACATGTTGAATTTTACACTATTTACATGTTCTACTTTGACTAAATTTTATACTATTATTTTATGGAAATTATTTTTTTAAAATTATATTTTTCAATTCATCTCATTACAAATTTTCAAAATCTAATTTTTAAATATTTTTTACTAATAGGGATTAAGATATAATTACGGTCAAAGATGTGCGTTGGCAAGTGTGAAATGTTGACCGTTGCAACTAAAAAAGAACGGAGGAAGAACAAGTTTTTTTTATGACTAGTTTTAGTGAAATAACTACCCCGTATATAAAATCATTTTTAACTACATAAGTCCATCGGTAGTCAGTCACACTCAACACTTTAAAACTTTCTCTCTCTAGCGCCGCCATATAGGTCTGGTCTAGGGTTTTTGTCCGGTGGCGGTTTTTGACCGCGGCAACGAGATCTCTTTTATTTGTTTGGATTTCTGTGTTGAATTGTTGGACGCTTTGGATTCGGACACCCTAGCTTTCTCCGCTTCAGCAGACAGCATTAAAGAGGTCTCGACGGGTTTGGCTTCTTCATCAACGAGTCTCTACAGACGGCTTGTAAATTGCTCGACAACTTTTCCGACGAGTTGGATTCCCGAACATGCAGCAAACAAGAGGGGGTAGTGGCAATCTTGCTACGAATCAGGTGTTGATTTATCTCGTTCCGACCCTCGGCTCGGGTGATGAACAGATGTGGAGCGATGAAGGGCTGAGCAAGAGAGATTACAAACCGGCGGTCCGTCCCCCTCCTGAACCGCCTCCTTGGATTGATCGAGATGTTGGGGATTTGAGTATTTGTCAATTATTCTATTTTTTATGTTTTTATTTTCGTGTTCTATTTGTTTGCGGTGTTTCTTTTTTTATTGAGGACTTCAGTTTTAGGTTTACAATAATGAGTGTCAAGTGTGCTAGAAATTATGTCACTAGAAGGATCTATATGGCCGGTGATTGTTGTGTCACACTCGTTTGATGGTTAGCGATTCACATTACTCTTTCAGGAATGATCGTCTCTGAGTCTAGCCGTATGGTTTATTGTGAGAATTGGTTAGAGATAGTTCTTGTCAGGATTGATCTTTTCGAGTTTGTTGTAACGATCCGCTTTCTAATAATTTTAATACGGAGTATATAAGAGTTGGATGTGATGATAAAAAAAAATTCAACAATTTGTCTTGGGGTACATGAGATGTACACAATTTGTACATCATATAAAAGGGTAAAAAAATTACCATTCCATTTACCCCATTCTTTCCTCTCCCTCTTTCTTTCCCACGCACCCCCCCCCCCCCATTCCCGTTACATATTTGCGCAGCTTGGAGCACATTTCACTGTAGCATCTTCTTCCTCTTGTCCCCTTCTTCTTCACAGCTCGACGGAGGAGTAGGAGTCTGGTGTGGAGGTAATAAGCGAATGGATTATAGCGTTGAGCAGATGGCCTTCATCAGTAGCTACGACATGGGCGAGTTGATGGCACCCCAAAATATGGATTCCGGCTCTGAACCACCGGCGACCGGAAACGAAGCTCAACCCAGTACGAAAGACGTCGGCGACGGAGAGGAAAAACATATTCCGGACGCTGATCATGAAGGAGGTACGTGGAACGTAATGTCTGTGTACACAGACATTTCCATATTTTCAGTCTTCACCTGTTGTATGTTCTTATAACTTTGTATTCGTATAGTTTACCATCCACTTGTGTTAGTGTAACATTTGTATATGTTTCACCTGCTGTAGAAGTAAAAGTATTGTATTTGATGTGTTGTATTATCCATGTAGTCCGTACTCCGTAGTAAATATTTGTATTTTTAATGCGTTTATATTAGTCCATTACTATTGTCTGTGTACAGGGAAGAAGTGAAGTAAATGTTTGTTTTCATATTGCCGTTGTACACCGACGAAGTGATGTACATGATTGTATTATTATACGATCTGTCCATTATTATACTACATGTCCATTTATGTATTATGTAAATGTGTTATGTAATTTATTGTGATGTTATTGTATTGTAATATTTTTATATGTCTTCACTCAGACCCGGATAACACAAATGTAGATGATGGTACACCAGACGTCCATGTAGAAGTTGGGATGTTGTTTGCGGGAAAAGATGAAGCCTATGATCACTACAAGAATTACGCAAAACGTATAGGTTTTCCCATTAGAATTAGGAGCTCGACGAAAGACAAACAAGGAAACATAACAGGAATGTTAATTGAATGTGGCCGTGCAGGAAATAGAGTTTCAAAGTCAACAAATTTGTTGTTGCCCGGAGCTACTAGTGCAATTGGTTGCAAAGCCGGAATCAAAGTCATGTATGACTACGCCGGGTCATGGGTTATTTCAAAAGTGCATGAACAGCATAACCACCCCATGAGTCCTACCAAAACTAGAGCTTTTCGTTGCAATAGGAGATTGACTATGAGCGCGAGGAGAAAAATTGAAATAAATGTTGTTGCAGGAATTCCTCTTCACAAAACCTACACCTCTGCCGTGGTAGAAGCGGGCGGTTATGAGAATTTACCATTCATTGAAAAGGATTGTAGGAACTACGTTGACAAGGTTCGCCGCTTGCGTTTAGGAAATGGTGATGCCATTGCAATTCAAAGTTTCTTTTGCAAAATGCAAGCGGAGTGCCCCGGTTTTTTCTTTGCCCTTGATGTGGATGATGAATCTCGCCTTCGCAATGTCTTTTGGGCAGACAAGCGGTGCCGGTATGCTTATAGAGATTTTGGAGATGTGATAACTTTCGATACAACTTATCTCACCAATAAGTACGACATGCCCTTTGCACCTTTTGTAGGAGTCAACCACCATGGGCAATCCATCTTGTTAGGTTGTGGCTTAATTTCAAATGAGGACACCACCACATTTGTGTGGTTGTTTAAAAAGTGGCTTGAGTGTATGGATGGTTGTCCTCCTAGTGGAATTATTACCGATCAAGATAGGGCAATGCAAAATGCCATTCAAATAGTGTTCCCAAATACAAGACATCGGTGGTGTCTATGGCATATAATGAAGAAGGTGCCTGAGAAGATGGGAGGGTTGACTGATAAAGACGAAGTTAGTGCTTGTTTACATGATGCTGTTTACGACTCCCAAACAGGTGCACAATTTGAGTTCGCATGGAGTTGTATGTTGCAAAGGTAAGCATTTGTTTTTTACAAGTTCTATTCAACTTCACAACTATCGTAATATTCATGTGGACAAATGTGCAGGTTTCAGCTTAATGACCATGAATGGTTACATGTGCTTTACAATGAAAGACATCGGTGGGTGCCATGCTACTTGAGGCCAACGTTTTGGGCAGGGATGTCAACGACCCAACGTAGTGAGAGCATTAACGCCTTTTTTGACGACTTTGTTCATTCTAAAACAAGTCTAAAGGAATTTGTTGATCAATACGGGCGTGCGTTGAAATCCAAAGTAGAGAAAGAGTTCCAAGAGGATGCTAAGTGTCTCACCAAAATGTTGCCTTGTGTGAGTATATATGCCATGGAACATCAGTTGCAACAAATGTACACACTTGCAAAGTTCAAGGAATTTCGAACTCAATGGCCGGGAAGTTGCATTGTGACCTGTTAGGGTGTGAGGATGGTATACATTACAATATCCGTGAAGACAAAAAGGAGAATGGGGTTTTTTTCAAAACAATCCATGTTGTGGTTGAGTACGATAATGCTATCCCTAATTCTAAAGCAGTGTGCACCTGCCACTTATATGAGTTTAGAGGGATTGTTTGTAATCACATCATCACAGTACTTGTGCGTAACGGAGTTCACGTCCTACCAGAGTGTTACATCATGCAAAGGTGGAGGAGAGATATCAAAAGAGGATACACAAGAGTTAAAATTAACTATGATGGTTGGATTACGACTAAAGAGCAACAACGATTTGACAAGTTATGCACCACATTTGAAAGACTTGCGAATAGTGTGGCCGATGATGATGAACATTATGAACGCGTCTTGAAATGGCTTGAAGGTGAGTTGGAAAAATGCAACATGTCAAATGCTCGTTCATCAATTTGTGGAGTTATGACTCAATTAACGGACACCCTGCCAATCCAAGTCATAGGCGTGAACGCACAAACAACTGTTGCTATTGAAGATCCAAACAGGACAAAACGTAAAGGCGCTCCGAGAAAGACTAGGCAAAAAGGACCTATTGAAAAGGGGAAGAAAAAATCAAAGGTACATCCATTTGTCTGTGAAGCCGGAGCAATGTGTCCAGGCACAGACATTTAGCCAATGGAATCCGTGTGAATTGCCTGTGGGACCATAGTAAATTGTCTGTTCACAGACAAATACCTACTGGAACCCCTGTGTCACCAGCCAATGAAGTGTCTGTGAGACCCCACTTAATTGTCTGTTCACAGACAAATACCTACTGGAACCCCTGTGTCACCAAATTATGAAATGTCTGTGAGACCATACTTATTTGTCTGGTCACGGACAAATACCTACTGGAACCCCTGGGTCACCAAATTATGAAATGTCTGTGAGACCATACTTATTTGTCTGGTCACGGACAAATACCTACTGGAACCCCTGGGTCACCAAATTATGAAATGTCTGTGAGACCGTACTTATTTGTCTGGTCACGGACAAATACCTACTGGAACCCCTGGGTCACCAAATTATGAAATGTCTGTGAGACCGTACTTATTTGTCTGGTCACAGACAAATAAGCTACTGGAACCCCTGGGCCCAGATATTTAGCGACTGGAACTGGATATTTTATGAACACTCATTTGAACTACAATTGCAATTATAAACAGGGGCGGCCGAAGAAGAAAGGGGTGATAACATCAGAGGAAGTGGCTGGACCAAGCAATGTTGAAGGTGTAGGAGACGTAGGACCAACAAATGCTACATCAACCAGTTTACAGTGGATGTATAATGATGATTTAAGCTTGAATCTTTCTGTGTTCTAGAGAATTACAAGGATTGTATGTGACACCGCACCCGGATGTACTTGAATTTGAAACTTAAAATGTACTTGAACTTCCTAGCGAATAAATTTCGTGTTATTGATTGATACATTTAATTAATGTGAGGTTAATTAAATTATTCTTCGGGTCCATTATATGAGAATGGACTACCAAATATTTAGTTGGGTCATCATAATAAATTTTAAAAGCCCAAATAAAGTGCCAACTAAAGTTGATAAAAATATTTGGACAACCCGGGTGCTATTTTGATCCGACCGGCCCGAAATAGCGGGAATAATTGGGAGGAACTTTCTACCCCATTCGGGGTTTTTCCTACAAGATTTGTGGACTCAAATTAATGAGTTGAGACAAGGAAACATGGGGAGGGGCGGACTCAATAGGGGAGGGGATTGCACAAGACAAAACCCACTCACCCCATGCCATATCCCACACATTATTGTGTTGGTTGAGATAGACATCTCCCCTACTCCCCCTTGCAATCATTCGGCCAACACAAGGAAGAGGAGAGCTCTGGGAAACACTCTCATTGAATCCAAGGTTGAAGGAAGAACCAGCAAAGGAAATCCAAGGTGTTAGGATTTGAGGTAAGAACTTATATAGTCCTTTAACTAGTTTATGTTGTATGATTTTAAGAAATCATACGACGGATTAAACATGAGTTTTACACGTTTAAAAGTGTAGAATAATGTTATAAAATGGTGGTATTTAACTTAGAAGAGTCGTGGAATCGATAGGAGTTGAAACCACCGGAAACCGCCAAGAAGGAGGAGCTGTTCGTGGTAGCAGACCACGAACGTCGCCCGGCTTTCACGAAAGCCGCCCGGCTTTCACCTTCTGTCCAGACTTTTCACTCTTGATCGGTTTAGAACGGGGATCGACCGAAGGGCTTATCAAAGGCAACTAATCCAGCACTTCATAAGGTGAGGATGGCTGACTATGTTGTTTATAATCTTTGGGTTAATTTCGTAAGATTACCTAAAGTAGTTAAATGTTATTTTCATGGATTATTAATGATTAATAATGCCTAAATGAAAATATTGTTGTCAAATGAATAAAGGAGCATAATATACAAATTTAAGGATAAATTGTGTATGATTATGTAATATGAGCATATTGGCTTGATGAAGGGATTAACTATGAATATTATGTTGAAATATAATTTTAACTTCATATAAGGATATATGAGTGATTAAAGATTACATTTTGTATATTGATATGAACTATATTTTCAATGGAAAATTAGTTTGAGAATTGTCTATATGACTATGAACTGAAATGAGATTTTGTTGGAATTTATCCGACTAGTATAATGATACTAGTCGGGGTTTTGGAATGAAATATGTTAGAATTGATCCAAGGTTTGGATTGTAAATTGTTGAGCCTTAAGTAGTCTTAAGAGATACTAAGGTGGATAAGTGATGCTAGGGGTAGTCCTTAAGGGATACCCAAGATAAAGTGAATAATAAATTGATCCTAGGAATAGGATTGGCCTACGGGTGTATTCGGTAGTCTTTAAGGATTAGCCGATAGAGTATTGGTAATTAGTAAGGACCATGGCCCTTCCCGACTCTAGAGAGCGGGGTTGGATAGCATGGACTTACATCGTGATCACGGGTTAGGGTGGAATCCGAACCGGAGACCTTACGAGGCTCCCGACAGCGGTAACACATAAGATAGGACCCCGAATGGACCTTACCTTCCTACGGGACGATGGGTATGAGTTCAGGGGCGGGATGTTGGACTCCGGCCCGAGAGCCCGGTGAGGCCTCGGAGAGCGGTGACAAGTCTCGTAAAGGATGATAAGACCTACGGGCGGTGTCGTGCTAACGACGGGCATAATGAAATATATGAAATGGGCCGTGTGCCGACAAATAAATAAATTTACTTATTATAGAGATAATAAGTGGGAAATATAAATTATTATTTATATTATGATATCACCCTATTTTGAGGGTCTTAGAAATTGAAACATTGATTATACTTAGTATAGTTGTCATTGTACTTGTCAAATGCTTCCAAGTACTGACCTCCCCTTCACGGGGGAGGCCACCTCACAGTTTCAGGTAGGGAGTAAAGCTTGCTACCATCGCCCGTTGCTTCGGGAAGCTCAGGGAGAGAAGACGTGGTTCGTGCTTCCTCCGTTCTATTTTTAAAACATTAAATTAATGCTCATGGATATTATTTCGATTAATTATATGGGGCTTGTACGCCCATGTTGCCGAAGTGTGGCA